ATTATTTTGATTATTCATTAAATTTGTTTGCTGCACATCTCACCACGTATATACAATGTAAGGACTGCAAGAGCCACTATGTAGGACAAACAGGGAGAAGTCCAGCAGAACAAATCTATGAACACCAATTAGTATAAAGCATGACGAAAACTCCTTAAATTCACAACACTTGGACAGAATTAACTATACTGTCAAACCTCGGGGTTTGCCTTAGCGGTAGGAGGAAAGGTCCTGGTGGTGATGGGGAAGTTTGTGATGTCGGCAGTTGCAACCACGCACCAGTGAAACCCTATTGGGGCACCAATCAGCTGTGTGCCTGGGAGGCGGCCAGCGTGAGGCAACCAGGATGCCTGACGATCAGCTGTGCACCTGGGACACCCGACGATCAGCTGTGCAGCCATGCGCAGCTGCGTGAGTGACCTCCAGGCAAGGCCTGCACCAGTGGAGGGCGTGGCTTGCCTTTATAACTGCACTGGGAGGCGAATGCTCCCAGAGCTGACTTTAATTCTGGATTGCATCTGTTTTGTGACAGTGCTTTTTGGAGCTCATTTGTGTGCCTGAGTCTGGCTTAATAAACCCAATTATGACCTGCCCAAACACCTGGGGTTGTTTTTACTGGATTAGGTCCGGAGTTCGGATCTTTTGAGATATAGCTTCAGCTGGGAAACTGTATGCACCCTAAATTAACGTTAAAGCAACAATCAAGAAGTAAACAATACCTAATCAAGGAACTAGCAACTTAGACAAACAAGTTAAATATAAATATATATTTATATTATATAAATATAAGAATACCGTAATCAAGAAAGCACCAAGTCCACTCCTACCAATGCTAACAGGATAAGCCACTGGTATATAAAATGAGAGCGAACTCTACTCCCTACTATCACTGATGATGTTACCTAGTTTGGTAATGAAATGTCTGGAAGAAAACCACTAAGCCTAGAGAGCACCAAGGACCCCACAATTCAACACTGAGCTACAAATATTCTCTTCCAACAGTAGCATATTTAAGAGATTATCAGTGTAGATCATGGATGTCAAACTCGTGGCTTCACATTGCTGTCATGATGTTTTCCCCCTTCACAGAGCTGGGGTGGGCGTGGCCTGTTAATGGTGTACCTGACCCGTGGGCCGCCAGTTTGACACCCCTGGTGTAGATTGATTGGTATCTAAAGCACTGATTGGCATGTTTCAATAATATGACTTGCAGCAGAAAACATTATGCCATTAGAAATGTAAAACTGGTTCTAGAAAGGAAAATGTTAAACTGTGACTCACATGCATTGATCAAATATGCATGTCATGTGGGTAAATACAATAATTACAAACAAGGCATAGTTCTTTGTTTAGCCCATTGGGACCTGCAATGAAATCTTACAGTTTGGGTGCTTTAATGTTCAAGCCAACAATGCCTATTATTCTTTACATTATTATTCCCTCCCCTGCTGTTCTCCACCCCAAAAGGAAACACATTGTAGTAGATGCTACTCCCACTTAGCCTAAAGATTTTGTTTCTACTTTCTTGGATATTCCAGATCATGGTAATACTGTTTCCTTCTCAGCAGCTACATTTTAGTTACACAGTAATTGTCATAAATTGGCACCAAAAATCCACTAATAATGGGGTATTATTTCCCCAGCCTAATATCTCAACTTGAGTTGGCCTTCAGTTCTCATAAACAGAAACCTTCAGTCAGAGGCTGAGATAATTGGAAATGGCAGAACTTTCTGAAGTCCTGTCTAATACATGCAAACACCACTTTGGGGGAGGTTGGTAAATATAACAATACACCTATCACACAATAAGTACTAACCCACATTGTAAAACAGCATAAAGATACTGTACTTCGAAGATGGTTTTTACTGTTTAGTGTGTCTTTAATACACAGTATGCATTAAATGGGTTTTTTTTAAAAAAATTACATCATTACATTTAAAAAAAATAATTTAATCAAAGGTTCTCACGTTCATAGAAACAATGCTGGGAATATTGGGAATGTTTTATTTGGTCTTGTTTTATTTTTCTGATACTGAGTGAAGCTGGATAATCCAGAGGAGAGGCGAAGTTTTCATAATGTGATGCTGGAACGTCAAAAGGACAAACAAAACCACTGACTAAAGGATTGATTTTCATAATATGATGCCAGTTCAGTGGACCATTTTTTAATCTTTAAACTCTCTCTCTCTCTCTTTCTTCCAACGTGGAATCAATTTTTTCTATCTGCTCATAATGCAAGTTTTCTATTCATCAGAATTTTGACAGAAAATGTCTGAGTTAAAGGGGCCCTTCCCAGTGGCCTTGGCTGGAATTAGTCATTTCCACACAAGATGCTGGTTTTAACAATTACTTTGGCATTGAGGGAGTAAATGGTACTGAAATACATAAAAAGCTTTTGTTTTGCTTTTTAAAAAATTTGTTATGCGATCTGCTGTGAATGCCTAACAGTTTTCCAGCATCCACAGGAAAGGAAGAAAAAGAAGTTTAAAACTGCTGAACTTATCTGATCTATCAATTAAAATAATGTGACACGAAAGTAATATTTTATTACAACGTCTAAGTATCTTCTGACTGGAACAATGCTTCCTCGCCACTGTCACAGCTGAACATAGGGGGAAAAACATAATGGAAACTCCAGGTCATCCTGTTGAATTGTTTCGTGGGCTAGCATTGTCTTCTCCTCCCTTCAACATCTCTCCCGGGAGAGAATGGTTCACAATCCTTGTCTTGGATCCAGACGAGGAGCTAAGTTTTCCTTTGGTTTCCTGTCTACTTCCCAGGCACTGAAGGTTGGGGGGGGGGGGGTGAGGAAATTATTTCAGTGACAGCCAAGCCAAAGCTCTGCCCCTTCTAATAATCAAGTAGCTGGGAGTCATGTCTGGAGCATCGAAATCCTAACACGTTGTTTTATTTTCCTTAGCATTCTGCAGCCCAGTTTTTAACAACATACATATACCTTTACATTCTCATTTTTATGTCCATTGTTTTACTTGGATTATGAAAACTGCACTGAGTCATGAGAAATGACAGTGTGGATACATGTATGGAGAAAATACATACAATAAGCAATTGTGAAGAAAAATGCTGGCATAAAGATTTTTTTCCCAAGGTATTTTTATATACTGTTATTAGGAACATTCATATATAAGGCTAGAAAACTTACCATGGCTCCCAATGCAACTTGGGCCATATAACACAGGCAAAGCTACCAGTGGTGAAATCCAAATTTTTTTACTACCGGTTCTGTGGGTGTGGCTTGGTGGGCGTGGTATGGCTTGGTGGGTGTGGCAGGATACTGCAAAATCCCCATTCCCTCCCCACTCCCGGGGGAAGGATATTGCAAAAATTTCCATTCCCACCCCACTCTGGGGCCAGCCAGAGATGGTATTTGCCAGTTCTCCAAACTACTCAAAATTTCCACTACCGGTTCTCCAGAACCTGTTAGAACCTGCTGGATTTCACCCCTGAAAGCTACCCATTGAGGCCAGAACCAAGACCCACAGTGCAGGGCCCATTATTCTTACTTAGTATAAATATATATTGTACAAAACACAGTCAAGCAAAGAATGCTTAATGTTTTAAAATTATTTTTAATAGTTTTACATTAAAAATTTTTACATTTAAAAACATTTCATTCTCATGTAGTATCCGCAAGAGAAAGGGTGCCTTTGGAAAGACTGCTAATATCATTTAGGTATTTAGTTCAGTTTTAGACTATTAGAGTACTGTCAGTCTTGCCCCTACCTGCTGGAAAATCGCCCAAGGATATGCAGGCTCATTGGGTGAATCGCCGAGCAAGAAAGTGACTTCCTTTTCACTTTTCACATTAAGTGCCCAGTCTAAAATAACTATATATAGGTAGTCCTCGACTTACGACCAAAAGTGAGCCCAAAATTTATCTTAAGTGAGACAATTGTTAAGTGAGTTTTGTCCCATTTTTCTTGCCACAGTTGTTAAGTGATTCCATGCAGTTGTTAAGTTGGCAACATGGTTGTTAAGTGAATCTGGCTTTCCCATTGACTTTTGCTTGTCCAAAGTTTGCAAAAGCTGATCACATGACCACCCCCCCCCCAGGACATGGCCACTGTCATAAATATGAACCAGTGGCCAAGTGGTTCATTTTGATCCCGTGACCATGGGGGTGCTGCAATGGTCTTAAAAAGTCACTTTTTTTTTCAGTGACTTTGAGCGGTCAATAAACCGAAACTGTTGTAAGTCGAGGACCACTTGTACCCCATTGTTTGGAACAGTGCAAACGGACGGAGCGTTTGATAACAGATAAATATCCTGGGACATCACATCAAGCATTTGCTGTCCGGGTTGTCCCCTTCCGTGGCTCTGATCCACCGAACGAAGGGCCTCGAGGCTTTAGCGCAGTGTTTCTCAACTTTGGAAGCTTGAAGATGGGTGGACTTCAACTCCCAGAATCCCCCAGCCAGCAGCGCTGGCTGGGGGATTCTGGGAGTTGAAGTCCCCCCATCTTCAAGCTACCAAGGTTGAGAAACACTGTTTTAGTGTATCCTTCCCCAACTTGGTGGCCTCCAGAACGAGCCGGCAGAGTCTCCGGGAGTTGAAAGCCAACTCATCCGGAGAGCGCCAGCTTGAAGACGGCTCCGTTGGCGCCGGGAAGGAGACTTGTGGATGTCCCGAGTGGTGTGTTGCTCGGGACCTGCAGTGTCACTGAGGCGGCCTTAGCCCGCTGAAGCGCTCGCGAGCCGCCGCTCCGAACCCCGGGCGGAAAAGTGAGGCGCAAAACGAAGCAAAAAAACAAGCAACGCGGCAGGCTTCGCTTTTAAAATTGCCTCCTCGCTCGGGCCGGGCGGCAATGGAGGAGGGCGGAAGAGGGACAGTCGTGTCGCCAACTGGCCAGCCTCTCTTCCTCACAAACGCCCCGAAGAGGTTTAGGCGCGCTGGAAGGAGGCGCCGGAGGAAGCGCTCCAGTTGGGAGTCCTGGCGCTGGGAGGAAGGGGCAACCGGGAGTCGGGGGGTGGGGGGCATATCTGCCCAAAGTCACGGTCCCGAGGAGCGGCGGCCGGGAAGGGCTCTTCCCGCGTCGCTGGTAGTTGCTCTTGCCGGTGATCCCTTGCAGCGTATTGCTCCCCCAACAGGCAAAACTTTCTATTCGCACACAGATCCACACACTGACGTCTTTTGCGCATTTCCTGCATTGGGGAGACAGACACACCGAGCGAGCGAGCGAGAAGCGAGCGAGAGGGCCAGCTGGGGGAGCCTTCCTCGCCCAGCATCAGGCAAGCCTAGCCCGTGGCACAAGCCAGACCAGCGGCCTTGGGGTGGGGAGGGAAGGGCGGGAACCTCGTGTTGCCGGCGAGAGGCGTTTTTCTTTTCTTTTTTTCCCCCCTTTCCTTTTTTTTTTTTTTTAAATGATCTGAAAATAACAGAAAAAGAGCCGCCCTCCTTTCCCGAGCAGGTCGATCGGGAGCAGTTTCTCCTCATGCATTGGGTTCGATCCCCTGGATCCTTGGCCTTGGAGGAGGAGGAGGAGGAGGAGGCGGAGAAGGCGAGGAAGCTCCCGCTGCAGCCGAGGCGGATGTAAGGTTCCTCGGACTGTGTGATTTCCCCCCCCCCCTTCTCCCCTTCAGTCGGAAGGCTGCGAAGTGGGCAGGGCTGCGCGTTAGGTTCGGTGTTCCTGGGTGTTTGCTTTTCTTTCCGACCCCCCTTCCCCCTCCTCTCCCCTCCCTCCCCTCCCCTGTTGTTCCTGCCGCCGCCGCCGCCGCCGCCGCACAGGCAAGTCAGCAGCAGAGCGTGAGCGCCGGATTGCTTTCAGCGGAGGACTGCTCAAGGATTACGCTCTGAACGAGAGAAAGACGACGGCGGGGGAGGCAGTCTTCCTTTTAAGAAAATAATAATAATAATATATACGCATATACATATATAGATCTCGACACGTCCCTGTATCCCCCGCTCCGAAGATTCTTTTGAATGTGCTGCGATCGCATTTCGGATTTCTGCAAGCAGGCACGCGCGATCCCTCTCCCCTTCCCTTCTGCCCCCCCATCCCACCCCCGCCTTTTGTTTTTCCGTTAAAAACACACACAGAGGCCAATCTCTCTTAAATCTATGCGTGTGTGTTTGTATGCATGTGTGTGTATATATATATATATACACATGCGTGTGTACATGAATGTATGCCTGTATGCATTCACTGGGTGTCGCAAGAGGAAAAACTAGCCAAAGCCACCGAAAGGAGCCCCCTGCACCCACCCACCCCCCACTTCACTTAAACCTGCCTTCTTATTTATTGAGACATCTCCTAGAAACCTTCCTGGCTCCGGAGCGTGCTTAATCCCAAGGAAAAGTGAAGCCATCTAACCATGGTGGTTTTTAATGGCATGCTGAAAATTAAAATCTGCGAAGCGGTGAATCTCAAACCCACCCCTTGGTCGCTAAGGCATGCGGTGGGTCCCAGGCCACAGACCTTTTTACTGGACCCCTACATTGCCCTCAATGTGGACGATTTCAGGATCGGGCAGACCTCCACCAAGCAGAAAACCAACAGCCCTGCCTGGAACGATGAATTTGTTACCGATGTTAGCAACGGCAGGAAGATTGAAATGGCCGTTTTCCACGATGCCCCCATCGGGTACGACGATTTTGTGGCTAACTGTACTATCCAGTTTGAGGACTTGCTGCAGAACGGGAGCCGGCACTTTGAGGACTGGGTGAGTGCTCCAGAGGGTGTGCATTTCAGGGTCAGGTTGTTTTTGTGGCTTTGAGCTAGATGAAGGTTACCCCTTTTGTTTGACAGCTGTATCAGCCACACACCCTTATCTTGGTCGGAGGGCTCAAGCAGGTGGCTGAAACATGCTTGCAAGTACATAGGAGATGTGGTGTCTCAAATCTGCCTTGTGAAAAGGAAGATGCACCTATTCTTTTCTTTTCTTTCTTTCTTTCTTTTTCTTTTAAAGAAAAAGACAATGTAGTCTGAACCTTGACAGCTAGGATTTAGGGTCCTCAGCTCTGCCACTGACTTAAGTACCCCAAAAGACATCTAGCTAAATATTCTATTACTCTACTGCATGGTTAGGGTTTGTTGCCATTTGTTTATTTGACCATCTATTCATTCAGATTCTAACCCACTGTAATCTGCTAGGACTCCCAGCAATTAACAAACTTATATTCATAATGCGACTCTCCGCAACAAGATAAATAAAGTATCCAGAAATAAATAAGTCCCCCCACAACCAAACCTAACATCTTCTGATGATCAAGATGTCACATTTGCCCAATATGCTTCCCAAAACTAAGATTTTTTTTTTGCCATTGCAGCTCAGCTTAGCTCTTTTAAGTGCTGATGGTAAAATCCAAGTTCTGGAGGGTCTTTCTCTGTTTTGTGCCTTTTGTGCACAGCATGTGTTCCTAATCAGGAAAGAAAAACAGGAACCCCAGAATTCTTAGATATGATTCTTTGATTCTGAGATATATCCTTCATCTGCTTTGTTTTCAGCCATCAGGATGGAGAGGCTGACTGTTTGAAAGCACTGTAGCTTAGGTTCAGGCAACACGTTTGTTTGGCTTCTCAGGAAGTCATGATGCAACAGGATTGGGGTGACAAACTTTATCAAACAGCACATAGCAGGATGGAACTGACTGATAGAACACGAACACTGGCTTTAAATATGAATCTAGAGGAGTCAATCAATTATGATCTTGATTCAGGCTGAGCAGGAGCTTTGAGTAGAGCTTCTTTCAGCTCCATTTGCCCCAGAGACTCCACATAGGGTGACCTCACTAATAAGACTTGAGTTTGTATGTCTCGTTTGTATATTAATCTGGCTTTGGGTAGAGAGTAACAAATGAACTGGGAGATCAGCATAGAACTTCACATCCCTCAGTTGTTTCTAAATCCACTGTGTGTGGAGTAGAGAAAGCGCTAGAATTTCATAGAGATGAAGTAACATTTTCAACAGGCAGGCGCAACGTGTTCTAGGTGATTTTTGCAAGGATTACACAGCATAACTATGGACAGTTCCACAGTACTGCTTTGCACCATATTGAGATCCCTTTCAAATCCGACAGTCTCAACAATATTTCTTTGTCCATTTTTGTATAATTGTTTCCAATTTGTTAGAAATGCCAGACTTAAGGGAAATTCTACACATAGAGAGGTCCAGCGTCCAGTTCCCAGAGCTTCTCTTCCTGTACAAAATGTTTAAAACTTATCTCCTCTACCATAGCAAGATGCAACTATGGTCAAGGCTAATGGAGGGGAAAGACTGGTTGCATTTCACTTTCATAATTCACGGGGATGCTGGGTATAATAGAGGATTGGTGACAAGGTAATTGGGAAGCCTTTGAAATATTTCAATGCTTCTGTTCACATTTGTTTACAATTGATCTTCCTTCAAGCTGTCCGAATAGTCTGTTAGATTTTTATTTTTTTGCAAACAGCTGGACAGATAACTTATAAGTAAATGCACTGAAAAATATAAATAAGATGAGGGGATGTTAACAGTTATTTTATTCCATTTTTCTGAGAGCTGGGATGGAATGGCTTTTGTCCATCACAACTGCTAATACAGAGTGAGAGACACTGATTGGAGGAGGGCGTTTGCACTCTATTGATCAGACGAAGAAAGAGGCTGAATACAGATTAGATCATGGTGTGGACATTTTTTTTTTGCATTTGGCAGAAATGAAGGTAGTTTTGGATGAACTTCAATATAGAATGTTAAGGATAGGGAAGGACAAACTCTGGTAGTGTGGATGTACAGAAGAACACAAATAAAATTGGATGTAATAAAATATAATATTTAATATAAAGTAATTAACAGTGGCTGTATGCTGTAAAAAAAAGAGTAAAGACTGCTTAAGAATTGGAAATGAGATAAGTCTCTGATGTAATTCCTGTTTGTTTTTTAAAGTAATTCTTTGTATTATATAAAATGTGTATATCTGTTCAAAATATATTAAAGGCCAGAGATAAATTCAGTGGTAGAAGAATTGAGTAAGTGCTATTTTGGTCCCGATTTTTGAGAACTATTTTTCTTGGGACTATTTCCAGCACTTGGGTAGATGCATTTTATTGAATTCTTATTTGAAGAGTATATTTTGGGTTCAGATGAAAGTCAGCAAACATTCAAACTGTTATGAGTGAACAAATTCTGATTTCTTGAACTTTCAGACTGTTAATAAGGTAGCAGAATAAACCTCATTCTTCAGTGCATGTGCACGCTCCTGAATTAAAATATATTTGTTAGAATCTTCTAGAAGTCATTATTGGTGTGATTAATTATGTGTATGACACATCTGATGCACAAACATTTTATCATATTTAAGAATCCGTTGCCAGGTCATCACTATTCCTGTTTTATAAATGGGGGAACTGAGGCCAAGTTATGATATATGATGCTTTTTGTCTTGCATTGCCTATTTCTCTTGGGTGTGTGCTCCAGACAGCGATATCTTCTATCTAGAACTGCCTTTTTTTTATTGCTTCTTCCATCTTTTGTTCTTACCACACAAAAAAATTCACAAAAGGGAAAATATAGACAGGCAGGATAACAACTTTTGATTGGTAGCATTAGTAACATTTGAAACCATCCCAAGAGTGACTTTATAACATCATAATATTACACAGCATATTATTTATTGTGGTTCCCCACACAGCCAGCCAAATGTTTAGACTGGATTTGGCATTTTTATCCACCTATTGAGTGCTTCCCAAGGACTTGGGAAGAGGATGATGATGATGATGATGATATGAGCAGAGAAAGACTGAATTTGGCTGCTCAACATTAGTCTATTCTTCTTCCATCACCACAGTAGCTTTCTAAGCCCAGTTGCAAAGAAATGCATTTTTACAATAGCATAAAGTTCCAATGAGAAGGATATTACCAAGCACTGATTTATAGCTTCAAATGTAGTGTTTCAGGAGCATTTATGAGAAAACAGATGATGCTGGGTGAGGTCATACATGGGTTCTGGGTCAGGGATCATTAATATAGATTCCCAGGAAGCTGCAACTAAAAATTCAGACTTGTGAAATCAATTTGGGTTATTTTGTTCTCTTAGCAGACCAAAAATGGCTTTGCCAAGGTCTGAAGCAAAGGCTTTCCCCAATCACACAACTAGGTAACTGTTGTTTTTAAATGGATTCTCTCTATTCCTTGGGACCAAAATCTCCTTTTGGATACAAGAAAAAAATATATCAAAGACTCAAAGGAAAAAAAAAACTCTCTTAAATGAGCCATTGAGTAATACTTCCTAGAGTCCAAGTGTCTAGATGGCAAAGAATCACTATTTTGGAGAGGCGACAGTCCACGAACTTAAAGAAATGCTTTCAGTTTGTTTTTGCAGGTACAGCAGAACTGAGTGTGAAAAAACAAATATATTTGCTTAGGTTTATCTGCTCATGTTCTCATTTCACATGAAGCATTAAGTAGCTGAGGCTTGCAGGAGTTTTGCTTTTTACAAAATGATGTGCTGCTTCAGTTTAAGTTTATATCTCGGTCTTTAGAAATCAACTGCAGAACAGATAATGATGAAGAAAGCACTTCACGGAAGTCAAAGGAAACATTGCTTTGTTGAGAGGTCTCTAACCATCACATGGCTGAAGTCATATGCTGCAGCCACCTTGCTAAAACTGTCGATCTGACCAGGGAGTGGATAGAAAACAGTCTGGCAATTCAGTGTACAGGTTCTTAATTGTCTGTGATGTATGATAATATAGATATAAGGCAATAAAGCTGCTTTATAGGATGTGCAGAGTGAAATCCGGGGCTGATCTCTATTCAGCAAGGAATTACAAACAATCCTGGCTTACCAAGATGTAAAAACTGAGTTATATAACATTTTGATGTGTTATATTTGTTGGTGTATGCTTAAAAAAGATATACAACTATAGTATATGAATTAATATTTAGCAAATGCTCACCAACGTCAGCATAAAGAAGCAGAGAGCAAAGCAAATATAATTTACTGGTTTTGAAGAAATCATGAGAACAGTTAAAATTGTTGTTAACAGGGAGCAAAAGGAAGGGTTCAACATCATATATTACCATAATCGTCTATTAAAATCCATAACACGGCTACCAATTCCAGATCTTGAAAGAGAAACAATGACTGTGTTTTCAGGTCTGTAATTGAAATAAATTATAATGATGGTTTCCTGACAGTAGCTTTCTGATTTCTTGAAAGAAAAAACAAGCAAACGATAAATCAGATATTTCTAAGCTGTGTATTCAGCGCTAGACCAATGTGTTAAAATCAGTTGAAGAAATAAATAGTGTCAACATATGTTGAAATGCATTATACGTGAATCATTTTAAAGAAGCTAGTGACATTTAAGATATTTTACTCCATTTCTGATTCTGTCTTCCCTGACAGATAATTATGTTTGTTGGCCATAATGATTCCTTTTTAACCTTTGAAAGTGATGCACTGCATAACCTGCCTGTGATTATATCTTGTATCTGCCCATGAAAGAGGTCTTCCTCACCCCACACCCTCCCCAGTAGGAAAGCTGAACAGCTACATTTCATATATAAAGCAGACTTAGGCTCATATTAGCATGCATTTACACTGTAATCAATTTTATGTTAAAATCCAAATAGACGTGATTTGAATCCAGTTACATTAGTCAATACGTAGATACCGGTATATACTTCAAATTATTACACGGATCTTACATGGATCTTTTCACACAATAATTTCAAATAAC